AGACTGAAGAACAAAACGACAGCAACTTGTCTGTCCCCCTTCCCCCAATTCCCCAGCACTGTTCCCATCCCCCCAATTCACCAATAAAAATCTTAAAAAAAAAAAAATGGTAACTATCTGGATAAATACAAAATATTATTTTATTTTCCACATAGTTTCCTTAAAATAAGAATGATTATAGTAAAAATTAAAGCATTGTCTTGTGGGGGTTATAATGTATGTAGATGTAATATTTGTGATGATTATAAAGGATTTGGGTGCTTATGATTGTAGTATGTATTCCTATGTATATTTTGTGTGAAGTTACACAATATGCATTCTAGGTACACTGTGAATAAATAAGAATGTATATTTTAATTGCTAAACACTTAAAATATGCAAAGAGGCATAACCAATAAATTAAAATATATTTTTAAAGATATTTTAATAATCCAAAGGGAGTCAGAAATCATTAACAGTAGAACAAAAAGAAGGAAGAGACAAAGTGAAAACAAATAATAAAATGGTAGACACAAATCCAACCATATCAATAATTGCATTAACTTTTAATGGCATAAACTTTCCAATAAAAAAAGCAAAAATTGTCAGAATGGATAAAAAGTATGATCCAACTATATGTTGTCGATGAGAGACATACTTTAAATATAAAGACAGATTGAAAATAAATGGCTGGAAAACGGTGTGCCATGCAAATAGTAAACATGAGTCTGGGGTGGATAAATTATTAACAAATAAATAAATGATGTAGTATGTTAGAAGACAATAAACTGTGCAAATCTAAAGAAAAGTCGAGCAAAGTAGGGCCATCAGGAGTATGCAGGGGTTATAATTTCAATGGATTGGTCAAGGTTGACCTCATTGAAAAGGTGACATTTAATTAACACCCAAGGAAGCTTTACCTGGTCAAGTAATAAGCAATCGAGCTCAGTCTGGTAACCAAGTTAAGAGTGCTAACACTGCTACTGGTAGTGATGGTAATGAGATGACTGACCTCCAGGTCACTCCTCAGTCAGTGTATAATTAATTCTGTTTCTTGTATCATTCAGGTTTAAATCTATAAAAATTTAAGAAAGAAAACTAGTTAAGTGGAAAATAGGTGGATGTTTTTATAATCTTGGAGTAGATAAGATTTTCATACAAAAACACAAAGAAAAACCAAAACCATTTGAACAAAGTCAAAAGGAAAAAGCAAATGAGAAAAAATGTAATGCATATGAAAAGGGTTTCCCTCTCATCATATAGAGAGCCTCATAAATCATTTTTTTAAAAATCAAGGCAAATATTCCAAAAGAAAAATGAGCAAATCATGTCTCCAGTCTAGAACCATTGGAGAACAAGGATAGTAGTAAGAGTGAACTATTTGCTAAATGCTAGACTTGTCACTAGTTTTAACTTTGACATAATTTTTAGCACCCTCTTTTTACCTTTTATGTGTCACACAAAGTTCCACGGGACAGTAAGCAAAACAGACATCAAACCAGGGGCCATCAAGGTGGAGTAAACCAGGGGCCATTAAGGTGGAGTAAGATTTGATGGTTTTCTTTTTGATATATGTGTCTGAATCTTCATTCCAAAATCTAGGAAGAAAGTACAACCAATGAGGCTAGTCCCTATTTACAAGAACGTACAGAAAAACTCTTGGAAACTAGAAAGACTGATGCTCAGAGACACATCAAAGAGATCTAAATGTGCAATATAAAACTCTTCCTGATATACTATAAAATATATTTTAAAATCTATTAGTGGTTCCTACAGAAATTATAGCATTGTTTCAGTCGAGTCCTTGAGGTAAAGTTAACTCTGAAGAACAGAGAAAGTGGTCACTAGAACTGTTATTACCCAGGATAATTTGGGAGATGGTGTTCTTGTTGGATTGTCAAATTAGGGCGCAGAGCCTAGCGGCATTTGGGATTAAATTGCCATAGACTTCATGATTGCAAACTGCCAAACAGACAATGACCTTGCATGGGCTGCAATGTTCTCAGTGTATCTGTTTCAGGCAGGATAGACTTGGCTATGCTAGAATAACAAACAGACCTTGGAATCTCTGTTTATTTTTCATTCAAGTCACAGTCCAGTGGAGGTCAGTCAGCTCTCCTGAGCAGTTGCCCTCCAAGTAGTGACTCAGGGACCAAGGATACTTTCATCTTTTAGTACATCTGAATAAAAAAATGTACAAGGTTAACACTGAAGGAGAATACAGGGATAGAAAATTGTATAGTACTGTTTTAAGTGCTGGGTCTAAAAGTGTTTTACATTATTTCTGCTTACATTTCATTGACTTTAACTAAGCTGTATGATTTCCAATCTAATTTTAAGGGAGAAAAACATGTTCAATTGTTTTATGTTCCAAGGAAGAGAAAATGGTATGTTGAACAATATAACAGAGTCTCAGCCACAGCTCAAATTCTGGTCAACAAAATATGTCTCATTCTTCCTATCATATATCAAAAATCTCACATGTACCCCTCCCTTCCCCAAAGAAAATAATCCAATGTGTCTTCCTGTATTGCATCCATCTCAGGATCCAGGATCTCTGTACTGTCCATCAGGTCTATATACCAGGTCTGACAATTAAGTTTGCAAACTTGCTGCAACGATGTTGCTAACTTTTTTTGATATTAGAGGGATTATTCATTATGAATTTGTACCAACTGGACAAACAGTTAACCAGTTTTACTATTTGGAAGTGCTTAAAAGGCTGCATGAAAAAGTTAGACCACATGAACTTTTCACCAATAATTCATGGCTCTTGCATCATGACAATGCACCAACTCACACGGCACTGTCTGTGAGGGAGTTTTTAGCCAGTAAACAAATAACTGTATTGGAACACCCTCCCTACTCACCTGATCTGGCCCNGCTCTCTGACTTATTTCACTTAGCATAATACCCTATGGCCCATCCATGTTGTCGCAAATGGTAAGGCTTCTTTTTTGTGTGTGTAGCTGAGTAATATTCCATTGTATATATGTACCACAATTTCTTTTTCCTATGGGCATTTCAGTTGCTTCCATATCTTGGCTATTGTAAACAGCGCTGCAGTGAACATAGTGGTACATATATCTTTTCAAATTAGTCTTTTGAATTGCTTTGAATAAATACCCAGAGGTGGAATTGCTAGGTCATATTTTTAATTTTTTGAGGAAACTCCGAAGTGTTTTCCATAGTGGCTGCACCATTTTGCAATCCCACTAATAGTGCATGAGGGTTGCCTTTTCTCCACATCCTTGCCAACACTTGTTTTTTTATATATTGATGATAGCCATTTTGACAGGTATGAGGTGATACCTCATTGTGTTTTTAATTTGCATTTCTCTGATGATTAGTGATGTTGAGCATCTTTTTATATGTCTGTTGGTCATCTGTATGTCCTCTTTGGAGAAATGTCTATTCAGGTCCTCTGCCCATTTTTTAATTGGGTTGTTTGGGGGTTTTTTGGCATTAAGTTATATGAGTTCTTTATAAAATTTGTATATTAAGCCCTTATCAGATGTATCACTGGCAAATATCTTCTCCCATTCAGTAGAATCCCTTTTTGTTTTGTTGATGGTTTCCTTTGTTGTGCAAAAACATTTTAGTTTGATGTAGTCCCATTTGTTTATTTATTTCTTTCGTTTCCCTTGCCCAAGGAGATATATTAGAACAAATATTACTAAAGGCAGTATGAGTTTATTGCCTCTGTTCACTTCTAGGAGTGTTATGGGTTTTGGTCTTACATTTGAATCTTTAATTCATTTTGAATTTATTCTTGTACATGGTGTGAGAAGGTGGTCTAATTTCATTTTTTTTGCATGCATGCATGCATGCATGCAATTGTCCAGTTTTCCCAGCACCATTCATCAAATAGACTATCTTTACCCCAAAGTAAATTCTTGCTTCCTTTGTTATAGATTAAATGACCATATAGGCATGGATTTATTTCTGGACTCTCTATTCTGTTCCATTGATCTGTGTCTGTCTTCATGTCAATATCATACTGTTTTGATTACTATGACCTTGTAGTATAGTTTGATATCAGGTAGTGTGATATCTCCAACTCTGTTCTTCCTTCTCAAGATTGCTGTGACTATTCAGGGACTTTTTAGTTCCAGATGAATTTTAGGATTATTTGTTCTAGTTCATTTTAACTCTATTAATTCTTCCTATCCTTGAGCATGGCGTATGCTTCCATTTATTTGTATCTTCTTCAATTTCTTTCGTCAATGTCTTATAATTTCCTGAGTATAGGTCTTTTACTTCCTTGGTTAAATCTATTCCTAGGTCATATTTTTTATGTAATTGTAAAATGGATTGTTTTCTTAATTTCTCTTTCTGATAGTTAATTATTGGTGTATTAAAATGCAACTGATTTTTTAATATTAATTTTGTATTCTGTTACTTTACTAAATTCATTTATCAGTTCTAATAGTTTTTTGGTGGAATCTTTGGGTTTCTTATATATAGTATCATATCATCTACAAATAATGACATTGAGTCTGTATGAGGGCCTTTTAAGTAGATGTCTGTATTTCCATCAGCCTTCTTTCTCATTGTGATGGATGGACTTCTCACTGATTTTCACAGCCAGATGTTGTGGTGACTCCTCTTCCTGGCCCTGGACCTCTGAGCTAGGGAACCCACTGTGGGGCTTGGACCCTCACTCTTCAGGGAGTTGTCTGCTGCTTAGATATCCCTCCAGACACTCAACCACTACCTGTGGGTGTGGGGTCAGCCCATTTTGTATCTCCACCCCTCCTACCAGTCTCAATGTGGCCTCTTTATGTCATTAGTTACAGGAGTTCCATTCGGCTAGTCTTCAGATGGTTCTGGAGATTGATGTTCTATAATTTGGTTGTAATTTTAATGCAATCATGGGAGGTGGCAGGCACAGCATTTACTTATCTTGCTGTCTTTTCCTATTCATCTTCCTTAAATGTATGTATAGCTCACATTTATTTCAATGTTTAATATAAGAAGTGTTTTAGGTCTTTATTTAAAAGTTTGGGGATGCTTTTGTGACCAGAAATATGCAGCAGGAACTAACTCGTTTATGTCATTTTGCATATGGTAAAATTAGTTTTGTTATATGTTATTTTGCTTGGAAATTACATGTTATTTCCAACAAGATATTCATGACATTAAGGGAGTCTTACTGTATATATAATTCCCAATGCAAGTTAATGTGTATTTATGACATGGGTATATGTTCATAAAGATACATATTATTTTTCATCTTTAAATGTATATATAAATGGTACCATGGTAAATATATCCATCTGTCTCTTTAATTTAATATATATCTCATTTTTCCATGGTTAAACATGTATCTAGTTCATTCATTTGAGCTGCTTTATAATATTTCTTTATATAAACTTACTGCATTTTTATAGACTCATGTTTATGAGCTTACAGGTTACTATAATCTATTGCAGATATTTACATACATTTTTATATTTGTTTCTGTATGCATAAGTGCTAGGATTTTTCTATGGTACAGTCCTAGTAGAATTGCTGGGATTTAAAATATGCACATTTTCATCTTTACTAGATATTGAAAATTACTGTCCAATAGTGACTAATTTACGCGCCCACTAACAGTGTGTGAGAATTTCAATTTTTCTATGTTTGCCAATGCTTGGTACCTTTGGAATTTAATTTTTGCCAATCTGATGAGTGGATGGATTTCACACCTTTAAATTTGTATTTTCCTGAATTCCAGTGATGTACATTTCTCCAATGTTTATTATGCATTTTTCATCTAGTAATTGCCTTTTGTACACTTTCCCCATGTTATACTAGGTTCTTTGTTTTTTGCCTTCTTGATTT